CAAGATGTCTGGGATGTCTTACTCCCTCCACTGTTGATGGCCTATAGAAAAGCAGAGCATGAAGCCACTGGATACATGCCAGCAAAGCTTATGTTTGGTTGGGAACTGCAGTTGCCAGTGGACCTGATAACAGGACGCCCACCTTACGAAGAGTTGCCTGAAAATGTGCCAGAGTTTGTGAAAGTATTATCTGAAAGGATGGATGATATTCATCATCAAGTGCATTCAAACTTAAAAACGTCTGCTGATTCCATAAAGCTATGTTATGATAAGAAATCTACTGAAGTCCTAGGAAGACTCCTAAGTTGTCTTCTCCATGGGAAGGCCCATATGACAGTGGATTGTCTCTCAGACATGACTTTCCGAATAAAATGTGGTCGGCGAGGCAAGCCAAAGGTGGTGCATGCCAACAGGCTTTGGCGTTATCATGGTCCAGGACATGCTAAAGACGTGTTACCTGAAAAAGTCACTGTCGAAGAAGAAACTCTACCCAGTTTAGAGAAGGGAAAGAGTGAAGCCCTTGATGAAGTTACTACCACTGATGTGACTGTTACCGATAATAGGACATTTCCTGATGGAGCAGATAAACTCCACGTGAAGCAAAAGCTAACAAGACGGAGGCCAGTACAGAAGAAGATATGTCCTGTAAAATTAGGAGACTTTGTTGTATTTTAATTTTGTGTTTGTATATTCTGTATATTTAATTAAGTTATTGTTCATTATCTATTTGGTTAATGTAAGTGGCTATTGTTTGGGATGAACTATACTAAGGAAAGGGCAGTGATGCTGGTGATACGTGATGAATTTCTCAATTGATCATGAATGATCCGGGAGGCCCGAGTGTATTCAAGACGCCCCTCATTAGTATACAAGCCTGGCAAAGAAGCCAGCGATAGAGAGATAATTATAGAAGCGAACAGTAGTGGCTGTAATATAAAGTGTGTGTTTGTACTCATAGAGAGCAAAATTATCAAGATTGTGAATCGCTGTGATTTATACCGTTTTTATAAAAGTAGTTAACTTTAAAGTGAGGAGAAACATACTGACTGTGGAATTACTGTGTACTAAAAGTTTGTATCAAGAAAGAATAAACTGGTTTAATCAAAAAGGGACTTGTATAGCTGAAGTTCCTCAGAAATAATTTATACACAAAATTAACAAACAAGCAGATATGTAACAGAGGGTTATCTTATATAGATAGATTAAGATCTATTTAATTTAGTTTCTCTTGAGAAAAAAAAGGTTAGAAGTGATCTTTTTGAAGTTTATCATTTGGTCCTTCAAGGCTGACTCTGCACACCTATCTCCAAGCAAATGTAAAAATTAAACCCACCCTTTATTTTTCAAGAAATTATTGATTCTCCTCTTAAACTCTTGTGAAGTATTAGCCTCTACTATCACTGAGGGCCACTTGTTCCATAAGCTAATCACACTTATAAAAACAAAATTCTTAACTGGAGACTCGCCTGTCTTTTCCAAATCTTAGACTTGTGTCTTCTCATCCAAATTCAGCAAATTTATGATAATAATGTTAAATTTATACACATAAACAAATGGATATGGTGTAAACTTTTTAACTACAGCAGATAAACTAAATCTATAACTGTGTCAGCAAATATGATAATTTAACTACAAATTGTACAAATTACAACACCAATTACGTACTTCACAAGTTCACTGTCTTAAGTAACCAACCCTCTGAAGTGTGTAATATTTACTAATATAGTAAAAATACTTAACATTAACAACAGTAACAGGACAAATTTAAGAAAACATGACACACATTTATGCAGTCAGTAAAACTAGTAAATACCTAACTTCAATAAATTCACCAGACTACTACTATGACTCATGAGGCACACACATCTGTTATTTAATGTTAAAGTTTTCAATACATGTAAATATTACTCAGATACCTATTAGATCTTTAAACTGTTTTAATTTGTATGCCACTGTTATACTGAGTGTCATTAGGTTATTGCCTTTTCATTATTATTAAAAATATTACACTTTAAACTCAAATTATAGTTTTGGGTTCTAGACTACTGTGATTCGTGTGAAAATCAAAGTTTATTTGATTTTCGGGATATAAATTATAATTGCCAGTCGTATACGTAATACTAATAATGACTAATACTAACAGTAATACATTAAAAGCAGTGAAAAACTCAAACTGAAACTAATTGATCGCTGTTCATTACACTTACTGTTATTAAGTGCAATGAACAGCGATTAATTAGGGTTAAACTTAGAGATTTACAATAGTATCGTTGATGGTATTTCCATTATAATTTTAATTTAGTTTTGTAGTACTACAAGTACTAAAAGTAAAATTTAGAACTAGTTGCAGTACTTACAAAAACAGCTTTCGAATTTCACACTTTTATTTTTTGTTTTTACATATTAAACATTCAATAAACAGAGACACTAATAATTTTACTCGATACTTACAATCCTGTCTTAACTTCAACTTAGTATTTTTTAATATTGAGTTTAGATGAACTCAAGTTAGTCCTGCTGTTCGAGTACTGGTAGGCTGAACTTTTACTTTAGTTTAAATAAAAACCATTCACAAACCAAAAATCATTACATACATTACTATCCGCTACACTAGCGCCACTAACTTATTCCTAGGAAAGTAACATGTAAAGCTGCAAATGAATAACTTTTAGCACCAATTCAATATATATATATATATATATATGAAAATAAATGAATAAGTGTTTAATCATTTCTAGCTCTTAATATCTACTATTTATTGCATTATGCAATGTGAAACAATATATATGGCTTATTTACTTAAGTAATCAATTTTATTAACATAAAATCCAGAGGTTTATTGAGCTCCCCCAGGTGGCTCAGCTTTAAGTTTGATGGCTTTACTCTAAAAACTCGCGTTTCGACACTCACGGCGGGCACAGCACAGATATCCCACTGTGTAGTTTTGTGTTTAAAGAAACAAAGGTTTATCAGCAGAGTTTAAATTTTCAATCTATAAGTTCTCACAGTGCGTTAAGAAAAACTAAAAGTTTTTACATCAAACTACTCTCACTAGAAAGAAGTTTCAAAAATTAACCTATGTCTTGGAACATGGGAACAATACCTACGCTTATCCCGAAGTTTTTCAAAAGGTTTACAAATTCCCCAATAGAATTAACTTCTATTCCAGAATAATCACTCCGTACAAATAAATAAATATAAAATGAATTTTGTCGATGAAAATAAAGCATTTTTATATTTTTGGCAAAGATGGTAAGGCTATCTGCCACCATCTCTAAGTTTGAGCTGCTGACCAAGTGGAAGGTGGACAGTCAGTAACACCCTACCACCAAATATCTATGCTAAAGGGTTGACCGCACTCACAGCAATACAGGGAATATTTTTGTAATCTCACACGTATTCGAACCCAACTCGCCATCTCCAAAATACAGAGGTTTACCATAGGGCAAGCCTGCACTTTAGAAATAAAGAGTCGAAAAGGTAAGATAGAGCTATTAAGGCTAAAAAATGATAAATTTCTTATAAGTTTGTCATTTAACTACGTATTTTCAAATTAAATTCACTTAAACCCTTTCAAGAGCCGGGCATGAACTACTGTTTAACATGATCGAACTGTGAATCTGAGGGTTCATGGTTCACAGCCCTTTACTGCAAAAAATATGAATCACAATTTTGGGCTTTGTAGGTGTATAAAAGTGACAGTCAAATCCCACTATTTGATCAGATTAGAGTAATCCAAGACTTGGGAGTGAGTGGTTTTGATTAGTTACCTTCCATATAATCTATCAGATCAAAATTGGGGACTGCTATGCAAAAAACAGTCCTTTTTGTAGCTTTTTTAGTGAAATTTCTGAAATATATAATATATGTTTGCCATCATTGCATCAAAATAGGTCCAAATATCTACTATAATTTTAAATATTTGCTGAGAATATTTCCTCTACTTCCTCTCGAAGCCTCGACACATGATTTACTTCTGACGCTTACGTTAAAAGAAAGTAATTGTAAACGTAGATTTATTGGGTATGTTTTTATTATTTACAACTCAATATTAAAACTTCACTGCCAATATAACGCGAACTACAATTAGACTATATTTTTATTCTATGCATGCGTAATGTGTATGTATATATAGTTGAAAGAATATATTTTCATAGGAATATTAGAGGATCATTTGAAAACATATTTTTCTTCTTATTAGCCAATCTCACGGATATAAACTTTTGTTACATACAACTCTAACATCACATGTGCAGAGGATTTTTATATTCAGGCTATCGCCGACGATAAAATGACTGTTGTCATGAAATAGTTAAAGATGACATGGTTTTATAATTATTATTTTTAATACTTGCTCTCTATCTAAATTCATTATAAAAATAGCTTAAATCGTGTATCCAAATGCATTTCTACAACAGATATTTGAAAGTAGTGTATACTTTTGAGGGCGTCTGAATAAGTAGGTAAAACTTTTTTCTAAAGACTCTATAACAAGATGAACGAGAGGTGCATTTGTAAGATACTTTGAACTCTACATGACTTTTGTTTATGTTTGCTTTCTTTGTTTCACTATAAGGCAAGATGCACAACACACTGGTCAAAAAGAATCTTTGTTATTTTTTAGCTTTCTAGGTTTGTTTGTTGACTTTAGTTCTTAGCTACATTTCTACATGAATTAAGTTTGTAGCACTTTATTAGGCGGTCTTCTATGCTTAATGTAATAATATAACTTTGATTGAGCTATTTTGAGTGGAGTTGTGTTATTTGCTTTATAGTCAGTTTGTATAAATTACTTTTATTATGTAGTAATGATATGATTTTATTCAGTTTATGTCAATTTGTCTTTTTTATAATTATGTGATTATGCTTTGTTGGCGTAATTCGATAATTTTTTTGTATTTAAAACAAATTTAAGTAATCATAGCTTTCTTTTTGATAATACACATCTCCCAATTTCCATCTAACACAATTTGTTAGCAAATATTACACACTGAGAAACATTTTCAGTCTTGTTTAGTTCAAGAGGTTTTAAAAAAAAGGAAATCGTAAAACTTATGTTGTTAGACATAGATCTCATGTTACTTGAAAGATGGTTGATTTATGTATTAAATTAAACGAAATATCCACACGTTAGTATACCTCATTATACCTCAGCCAAAACCATGTATATGTAATCCTATCATTAAACATGAAAAACATGTACATAAATAATATTGAACATTTGTTTAAATAATGGTATTTAGTTTCATTTAACTTTAAATGTTTGTTCTCTTTCTTTTCTACATACATTTCATTCCCCGATCGCTCAGTGTCAAGTTTTAGAGCGTATGTAGTCAAAATCTTGTTTTGATACACGCAGTAAGCAGAGCACAGATAATACATTGTGTAGCTATGTGCTTAACAACCAACAAGCAAACATATTACATCATTCAAATTGAAGTTTACAACCATAAATTAATTTTTAACAAGTTTTATAAATTTCTAATTGAAAAATAACACAACTTACCATAATGAAAAAAATGATTAAAGAGCAGAAGTCGATTGATTAAAGTGAGCAATAACAGTGCAATAATCCCTCCCTGACAACGTTACTTTGAACACATTCAATTCGGTCAAATAATTTGAAGTATGGTATAGCGTAAAGTACAACAAATACACCACTGCCATTCATTCAAGTTCAAAAATATCATGTCAGGGAGGGTCCCATTTTTTTTTGATACACAAGCCTTGATAATCCAGGTAATTAACACGATGGAGTAATCGTACTTAATCGTCTTAATTCTTATTATCCACTTTAATCATTAATAAATGACTTAAGAACAGTTATCATGAACATTTTACATATCCTATTTTGTGCACTGTGGAAGTATTTCGTCATATAAATGAGGAGATGACAGGCATTCTCATGCAACGTAAGTGCACTTTCAGTATTCATGCTTGTCACATCGTAATGACCCCTAGTGGCACAGCGGTATGTCTGCAGACTTACAACACTAGAAACCTGGTTTCGATACCTGTGGTGGACAGAGCACAAATAGCCAATTGTGTAGTTTTGTGCTTAACTTCAAACAAAAAAAAACATCGTAATAAACATCCTTAGGTTACTGCCATGCATAAACATGAATTTGACAGGGAAAGGACAAATGATGATTCACCTGACAATCTATAGTTCTCCATTACTCTTGCATCATTGTATAAGTTGACACGCCATTGTAGGAATTTAATAAGTCATTCGTTGATTGTTGTATGGCCACGATTTCCCATCTTGTGAAGTTCATATGTCCTTCTGTAGTCACGTTTGTTACTGTGGTCTTCATATTGTTACGTATCTGCTTGTTTGTTAATTTCCCGTAGAAATTCATTCCGAGAAACATCAGCGAT